TATACCGTCTAGCAGTCAGCAGGAATATGATAAACTGGGTGTATAAGTCTAGCAGTCAGCAGGAATGATAAACAGGAGTGTATACCGTCTAGCAGTCAGCAGAATATGATAAACTGGAGTGTATACCGTCTAGCAGTCAGCAGGGAATATGATAAACTGGAGTGTATACCGTCTAGCAGTCAGCAGGAATATGATAAACAGGAGTGTATACCGTCTAGCAGTCAGCAGGAATATGATAAACAGGTGTATACCGTCTAGCAGTCAGCAGAATATGATAAACTGGGTGTATACCGTCTAGCAGTCAGCAGGAATATGATAAACTGGAGTGTATACCGTCTAGCAGTCAGCAGGGCTTATGATAAACAAGTGTGTACCGTCTAGCAGTCAGCAGGGCTTATGATAAACAGGAGTGTATACCGTCTACAGTCAGCAGGAATATGATAAACAGGAGTGTATACCGTCGCAGTCAGCAGGGCTTATGATAAACAGGGGTGTATACCGTCTGCAGTCAGCAGGGCTTATGATAAACAGGAGTGTATACCGTCTAGCAGTCAGCAGGGGTATGATAAACAGGAGTGTATACACGTCTAGCAGTCAGCAGGGCTTATGATAAACAGGGTGTATACCGTCTAGCAGTCAGCAGGACATGATAAACAGGTGTATACCGTCTAGCAGTCAGCAGGGAATATGATAAACTGAGTGTATACCGTCTGTCATCCAGAGAATATGATAAACAGGGTGTATACCGTCTAGCAGTCAGCAGGGAATATGATAAACTGGAGTGTATATCGTCCAGTCAGCAGGGAATATGATAAACTGGGTATACCGTCTGCAGTCAGCAGGAATATGATAAACAGGGTGTATACCGTCTAGCAGTCAGCAGGGAATATGATAAACAGGAGTGTATACCGTCTAGCAGTCAGCAGAATATGATAAACTGGGTGTATACCGTCTAGCAGTCAGCAGAATATGATAAACTAGTGTATACCGTCTAGCAGTCAGCAGGGAGCTTATGATAAACAGGAGTGTATACCGTCTAGCAGTCAGCAGGGCTTATGATAAACAGGAGTGTATACCGTCTAGCAGTCAGCAGGGAATATGATAAACAGGGTGTATACTTCCTAGCAGTCAGCAGGGCTTATGATAAACAGGAGTGTATACCGTCTAGCAGTCAGCAGGGAATATGATAAACAGGAGTGTATGCCGTCTAGCAGTCAGCAGGGCTTATGATAAACAGGAGTGTATGCAATCTAGCAGTCAGCAGGGAATATGATAAACAGGGTGTATACCGTCTAGCAGTCAGCAGGGAATATGATAAACAGGGTGTATATGTCTAGCAGTCAGCAGGGCTTATGATAAACAGGTGTATACCGTCTAGCAGTCAGCAGGGAATATGATAAACAGGTGTATACCGTCTAGTAGTCAGCAGGAGTATGATAAACAGGTGTATACCATCTGCATCAGCAGAATATGATAAACAGGGTGTATACAGTCTAGCAGTCAGCAGGAATATAAACTGGAGTGTATACCGTCTAGCAGTCAGCAGAATATGATAAACTGGGTGTATACCGTCTAGCAGTCAGCAGAATATGATAAACAGGAGTGTATGCCGTCTAGCAGTCAGCAGGGAATATGATAAACAGGAGTGTATACCGTCTAGCAGTCAGCAGGGAATATGATAAACTGGAGTGTATACCGTCTAGCAGTCAGCAGGGAATATGATAAACTGGAGTGTATACCGTCTAGCAGTCAGCAGGGCTTATGATAAACAGGTGTATATGTCTAGCAGTCAGCAGGGCTTATGATAAACAGGTGTATACCGTCTAGCAGTCAGCAGGGAATATGATAAACGGAGTGTATACCGTCTAGTAGTCAGCAGGGAGTATGATAAACAGGGTGTATACCGTCTAGCAGTCAGCAGGGAATATGATAAACAGGGTGTATACCGTCTAGCAGTCAGCAGGGAATATGATAAACTGGGTGTATGCCGTCTAGCAGTCAGCAGGAATATGATAAACTGGGTGTATACCGTCTAGCAGTCAGCAGGGAATATAAACAGGAGTGTATACCGTCTAGCAGTCAGCAGAATATGATAAACAGGGTGTATACCGTCTAGCAGTCAGCAGGGAATATGATAAACTGGGTGTATACCGTCTAGCAGTCAGCAGGAATATGATAAACTAGAGTGTATACCGTCTAGCAGTCAGCAGGGCTTATGATAAACAGGAGTGTATACCGTCTAGCAGTCAGCAGGGCTTATGATAAACAGGTGTATACGTCTAGCAGTCAACGAATATGATAAACAGGGTGTACCGTCTAGCAGTCAGCAGGGCTTATGATAAACAGGAGTGTATGCATCTAGCAGTCAGCAGGAATATGATAAACAGGAGTGTATACCGTCTAGCAGTCACGGAATTGATAAACAGGAGTGTATACCGTCTAGCAGTCAGCAGGAATATGATAAACAGGTGTATACCGTCTAGCAGTCAGCAGGGAATATGATAAACAGAGTGTATATGTCTAGCAGTCAGCAGGGCTTATGATAAACAGGTGTATGCAATCTAGCAGTCAAAAATAAAAGTGTATACCGTCTAGTAGTCAGCAGGGAGTATGATAAACAGGGTGTATACCGTCTAGCAGTCAGCAGGGAATATGATAAACAGGAGTGTATACCGTCTAGCAGTCAAGGGTATGATAAACAGGGTTATACCGTCTAGCGTCAGCAGGAATATGATAACAGGGTGTATACCGTCTAGCAGTCAGTAGGGAATATGATAAACAGGGTGTATACCGTCTAGCAGTCAGCAGGGAATATGATAAACAGGTGTATACCGTCTAGCAGTCAGCAGGGAATATGATAAACAGGGTGTATACCGTCTAGCAGTCAGCAGGGAATATGATAAACAGGGTGTATACCGTCTAGCAGTCAGCAGGAATATGATAAACAGGGTGTATACCGTCTAGCAGTCAGCAGGGTATGATAAACAGAATATATACCGTCTAGCAGTCAGCAGGGCTTATGATAAACAGGAGTGTATGCAAATTAGCAGTCAGCAGGGAGTATGATAAACAGGTGTATGCAATCTAGCAGTCAGCAGGGCTTATGATAAACAGGAGTGTATACCGTCTAGCAGTCAGCAGGGCTTATGATAAACAGGTGTATACCGTCTAGCAGTCAAGCAGGGAATATGATAAACTAGGTGTATACCGTCTAGCAGTCAGCAGGGAATATGATAAACAGGGTGTATACCGTCTAGCAGTCAGCAGGAATATGATAAACTGGGTGTATACGTCTAGCAGTCAGCAGGGAATATGATAAAGGGAGTGTATACCGTCTAGCAGTCAGCAGGAATATGATAAACTGGAGTATACCGTCTAGCAGTCAGCAGAATATGATAAACAGGGTGTATACCGTCTAGCAGTCAGCAGGAATATGATAAACAGGGTGTATACCGTCTGGCAGTCAGCAGGGAATATGATAAACTGGAGTGTATACCGTCTAGCAGTCAGCAGGGAATATGATAAACTGGAGTGTATACCGTCTAGCAGTCAGCAGGGAGTTTGAATTCAATGTAATACCACTTCATTTGAATCGACTTTATTGACTTTTAATGACTGACTAAGGTTGTGTACTAAACTAGATTATGAACTTAAAAACCTTACAGGGAAGTGTGTAGACGTACATAAACAGTACTTATAGACGGCGGTTTACAACAGTCACCAGTTAATAATAAACATGTAACATACGGTAGGGAATACAAAGATGGCTACAGTTACAGTGACCAAGACACCCCCCCCTCCGTTGGACCCCATCCCCCTCGACCCACTGGTGGAGAAAATCTCAAACACGCGAACTTTTTAAAAATACATTTGCGCCCCACGACAGCTTTTCCTGCCATCACGTTTTAAATTATAAATGAATTCAACAATTCCTCACGCTCCCTCTCACACACACACATGCACATTTTTTGTTTCTACATGTATGGGTTTGGGTGGATGTTTTAACTGTAGATGGGTCTGAAATGCAGCACCGCCGTTCACCAAGGTTTATTAGATTCTACACAAGATACA